ACTTTGCAGTCCAGGGTATTAACCCGAAGCATTACACTCCTTGGAAAATACAATTATACTCAATTTTCAACCACCATCCAAAAAAGGGTTTCTTTCACATCCATTTAGATGTTTACCGGCATCTAGTGAAAATCTAGGCTTCCTTCTTAAATATCTGGCAGCTATGTTTTTATGGACTCCATTATAGGACAAGCACTGGACTGCCAACCAAAAGATCAAAAGATTCATGGTTAAAATCCACTACCTATGCCTCGGATTTGCTCTATGAGTCAGAACTGACTTGATGGCACTTAACAATATGATTTTATAGGAGCATGGATGGTGCAATGGGTTAGGAGTTAAAGGATTACAAACTCTTAAGGTCAACTCAACCCTACCAGCTTCTCCATGAAAAATGCTCCTATAAAAATTTGTAGCCTCAGATATCCTCATACTTTGTCCTATACAGCTGCTATGAGTGGACATGACTAAACGGCAGTGGGTTTGATGGTTGGGTGTATGATTTTATGGGTTCAACCCTCTGTTCCTTGTAACAAATGAACTTTTGGTTTTGGCTGTTTTTAAAATCTTCTCTTATAAATGACTAGCTGCTAGCTCTCCTGTGCCCAACTTTATTTTTCCTTTTTGTCTCTTTTGTTTGCACCAGGGCTTCAAACTTGTTCAGTAATGGTTGATGCAGTGAAACTGTAACAGATACAAATTTGTAAAATATGAAAATACAGTTATTTATTGGAATGGGGAAAATTACAGGTCAAAGCGCTGCAATGGGAAACTCACAAGAAGCCCCTTCAGAAAGAAGCCTGATATAGGAGATTCAATTATTGCCAGGACTAGGGAGAAAAAAAACATTCAAAGATATGTGGTAGGCTGCCATCTTTGAGCAAGGCACCATTTCCAACTCTGCAGTTCAAGAGATATGGTTTCTATCCAACGTACACACTGCCATTGTTTTCTAGGAGGGAGATTCAGTTCTTAGCAGGGTGTCAACACTTAATTTTTCCAGTCTGTTATCATTCCAGTGCACCCACAGTTTTGCTTTGTTGGCCATGATTTAACTAGAATAACTGACTCGAAAACTGGCCTTCATCCTTGGTGTTTCCACTGCTATCAAATGCTTTCAGGGACAGGAAGTGACAGCACCAAAGTGCTATTCCACAGCATTAGGATCTACCACTAAGTTGTGCCTCCAGATTTCCCTGCTTAGTTTTTCATGTGTCCCAAGATATCATTGAGAATAACTCACCAAAAATACACGATATACTTTTATTAAACTTGATTTTTCTCCCTGCAAAGATACTGTATGCATGAAACACCTATCATTTTTTCCCAAACAGGATCTTATTGTTACTGTACACTGAATCTACTTTTTTGGGGGATAGGAAATTTGGGTAACTTCCCCAAGATATTAATCAGCTAGGTATTTTGTTGCTCTAAAATCAATGTATATGTCTCTCCTTATAACAAGCTAACAATTAATCTTTTAACTCCATTGCTGTTGACCAGTTTTCTGTTCTAGCAAATCTCAGGGGTTAACATACTTCTTTCTCTCTGTACTGATGGCTCACTAAAGACAATAAACCTCAGAGGAGGAAGGCAAGAAGATTTGAGAGGCATATCTGAAAAACTCCAGTATAGTTTCTGGTACAAGCAGATTCCTTGACTGAAAGTCATCACTTTAACAACCAAACCACTAGAAGGCTGATTTGTAGACAACAAAGACACAAAAGTCATAGCAGAAATGAGAAGACACAGCAAATTAATTCAATAAGTAGTTTTTACATATGGAGAGATATCAAAATATTCACTATGAGAATGGGGGTAAAAGAAAAATGTATGCGCCTGTGTCTGAAATTTTATATCCTAAGAAGCCCTAGTGTGGCACTGTAGGATCAGCACAGAACTATGAACCACAAGGTCAGCGGTTCAAACCTACCAGCTGTTTCCTGGAAACCCTATACAGGTTTGCTATGAGTCAGAACCAACTCAACAGCACTTAACAACAACAACAAGGAATGACGGTAGTAGCGTAATGGTTATGTGTTGGGTTGCTAACTGCAAGGCCAGCAGTTTGAATCTACCAATCTCTCCTTGACAGAAAGAGGAGGCTTTCTGCTCCCATAAAGATTTATCACCTTGGAAATCCTACACATGGCTGCTATGCTTGACGTTACACCACGACTAGAACCACCACCAAGGATCTCTCATGGAGCTATGGTGGTACAGTGGATGGTTAAGCACTCAGTGGCTAGTAGAAAGGTTGGTGGTTCACACATACCAGCTGCTTTGTGCAAAAAAAAGTGGCAGTTTACTTCTGTAAATATTACATTCTTGGAAATCTTATAGGGCAGTTCTACTCTGTCCTATAGGGTCACTGAGTAGTACTGGACTCGACAGCAATAGGTAATCAGTAAAGGTCTCTCTAAAGTCCCTTATCCATCCTAAAATGTCTCTACATTGTTATTCAGTTCCATCAAGTTAGTTCTGACTCATAGAGACTCTGTATAGGGTTTCTGAGGAGCAGCAGGTAAGTTTGAACTGCCAACCTTGTGGTTCACAGTCCAGTGCTTATCCTACAGCACCAAACCATAAGTCCATAAAAATGTCCCTATAGCAGCCATAAATCTGAGTTCATAGTAACATCACTGACTATTCTAGTAGTTGGTGGGATTTTTTAATAAGTATTTTAAGTCATTTTCTTAATTGTCCAAAAACTGAGGTTTCTGCTCTAATTTTGAGTGCTCAGCATTAAGCTAGTAACCTGGGCCAGAGGGTTATGATGCTGACCAAAGAACAGGCACCTTTCAGAATGGCTATGATGCAGAGGCTGGTGCTGTCATAGTGCAGTTCCTGGTTAATGAACTCAGCTGCAAGTCAAAAGGTTGGAGGTTCAAGTCTACACAGAAGTTACCACAAAAGAAACATCCGATAATATACTTAGAAATAATCTACCATTGAAAACTTTATGGTACATAGTTCTACTCTGACACACATGGGATGACTATGAGTTGGAACCAACTCAGTGATAACTAGTCTCATTTTCATTCCTAGAGGTGAGCAATGTGGTAAAACTGAAGTAGAGTTGCAAGCCTATAGATGGGGGGGAAAGGGGTAACTCTAGGTTCCTGAAAGTAGGAATAACTTGTAGAGAGAATTCATTCAAAAGCTCATTCTCCACTAGATGGGATACAACTTGTCTGCCAGCTTTTTTTCCATTACGTGCACAGATAGTTGGGTAGTCTTCCAAGGTGGGGACTTTTTGATTTGGTAAAGTAGATGCCTAAAACGTGGCAAAGGAAACGCTAAGCTATAAAGGTTTTATAGATGCTAGATCCAGTCTTGCACAAGTTTCAGGCTCCTCTTATGCTATGGAGCTAACTTTACCCATCTGGTAGAAGCAGCTAACAAAGATGAAGGGAATTCCTTAGGCTAACTGCATACTTAGGACCTCTGATCTAGTGAAAAGAAAGTAGCGAGTGGAATACTTCAAAGGACAGTTAGTACTTAAGAAACTGCTAAGATCATAAACATTTTATAGCACATTCCAGAGAACACAATTCAAACTTAGTAGAGTACTAAGGAAAAACCAATAGTAACTGACTTAAAAAAAAAAAAAAAAAAAATTAAATTAGCTGATGTAGGAGTAGTGGAAGAGGGAGTCATTTCCAGATTTTCTTTTACTGTCTATGCAATTTTTAAAAAGCACACACATACACACTAACAGAAAAACAAAACAAATTATTTTATTTACCTCAGTGCTCTTCTAACAAACTATGTTGTTTTACCAATTTGAAAGAAAATAAGATTCCTCCATTACCAACAAAACAATAGGATAAAACCAACACATTCACTACCTCTTACTGTGGATACCAATTTTAGGTCTATTAAGTGATCAAAGATTAAGAGCTCTGGTAGCGTAGTGGTTACGAATCGGGCTGCGAACCTTAAGATCAGCGGTTCGAAACTACCAGCCACTCCGCGGGAGAAAGATGAGGCTTTCTACTCCCGTAAGGATTTACACCCTTGGAAACCCTGTACAGGGTCGCTATGGGTCAGAACCGACTCGACGGCACTTAACAACAACAACAAAGTGATCAAAGATTAAGAGAAAACTACATTAGCCAGTTAAAATGCAACTGTTCCATATTACATGTACAGGGGGGCACTGGTAATACTATTGTTGTTGTTGTGTGCCGTGGAGTCAGTTCTAACTCATAGCAATTCTGTAAGGTGTTTCTGAGACTACAAATCTTTAGGGAGCAGAAAGTTTCATCTTTCTTCCGTGGAACAGCTGGTAGTTTCGAACTACTGACTTTGAAATTAGCAGCCTGACTTGCAACCACTACCAGAGCTCCTCAAATACTACTGTAGCTGTTAATTAAATTTTACTATAATAAACATTTTGTACTTAGCAGAACTCCCACACACACACAAGTACACACTTAAGAAATTATTTTCTTAGACTACAGAATAAGTAGTCTCTACCTCTGGTAGCGTAGTGGTTACGAATCGGGCTGCGAACCTTAAGATCAGCGGTTCGAAACTATCAGCCGCTCCGTGGGAGAAAGATGAGGCTTTCTACTCCCGTAAGGATTTACACCCTCGGAAACCCTGTACGGGGTCGCTATGGGTCGGAACCGACTCGAAGGCACTTAACAACAAACAACAACAAGAAAGTAGAAAGAGTAAAAAAGTACTCTGAATCAAATGAGAAACATGCAAACATCTTTCACCTTATCCCTTTCTTTGGTTAAGGTTCTGGATCTTTTAAGGCCTTACTTTGTTGCTGAGAGGTTTAATTAAGAACATCAACTTAGTTTAGACACTGAACTATTAGATTTTCCATCTTAGGTCATTACTAAGTAACTGCAGAAACAATGTAAAAGGAACATAACAATTCAAGAGCTTTCCATGAAGTTTTCTCTCTCTAACAAGTTCTGAGCTACATATAGGTCTCAGTTTGCAGTAGGAGATCTTCAGAAGTCACCACCCACCATACCCACCTCATCATCACTGTCCGAAGTCTCAGAGTCCGAGGAGGCTGCAGGCTGACTCACAGGCGGCTCCTTCTCCTCAGAGTCACTGCGCTTCCGTTTTGCCAGGGACAAGAGCTCCTAACGGGAGAAAGTGACATGAGCTTTGTTCAACAGAGAATATCCAAGAATAACAGAATACCTATTCTCCAAGAACTCTTGGATAACTATGTACTCTCAATCAAAGGGCATCATAAAGGGGACTTTTATCACATGGACAGGCTGTTAGTGTATTAATTGTTAAATAAATGTTTTCTAAATTTGTGTCCCCTCTCTTAATGGGAAATGTATGTCTGAAATGGAAAAGTGACTAGCAAACAGAACTGGAGGTTTGTCCCCAATTTGTCTCCACTTTTTCTCTAAATTATAAGACTATCAATTCTCAGGGGTATAGCTACTAATACTCTAAACATCCTTCTTATTTAATTCATGGTAAAATTAGCATTTGCAGGCTGTTTTGATTGAGTTGATTTCACTGGCAAATTGCAAGTTTCCAAAGTCACTTTATATTTTGAATGCTTAAACTAGGAAAAAAGACTTGGGTGGCTTCAGTGTTTAATCCAGGGGATGACAACAAGCAGTATGTGTGCTAGCCTAATTTGACAATTTCAGTACTCCCACCTCTGCCTTACCCTGGTGACTTAAGTGAGCTAGATGGAGTGGGGAAGGGAGGGGTGACAGTGGTGGTATGGGGGCTCCATTAAGAGTCATGACCAACCAAGATTTGGTCTGTCAGTTTTCTCCCCACTGTACTTTTCTCAAACTCCACAAGTCAATCAAAAAGGACACTTGCTCTGTTCTTGCCCTCTGCTAATACTAATTGTTCTTGCTGTTAGTTCTGTTGAGTTGGTTCCAATCCTGTACAGGGCTTCTAAAGAGCCATGAGCTTGAACCGCTGACCTTTCAGTTAGTAGTCCAGTGCTTATCCTACAGTGTCACACCAGGACTCCCTATACTAGTTCCGGTGCACTGTTAGACTGTACTTAATAAATGCCAGGTGCTTCACTAAATAGCTGACCCTGAATCTCCACAACCTTAAAAGGGCAGGTACTGTTACCATCTCTATTTAAAGATATCGAAACTGGGCACAGCGAAGTCCAGTAATTTTTCCACAGACTTTTTAAAGCCCCTCTGTAGCTAGTATAGGATACAGCCAGTTTCCAAATTGACTACTAGAATCCTTGACTCCTAATTCTGTCATGGTTTAGTCGTCTAAAATATCATGCCTATCTGTCCAACTTTTGAGAAGTACTGGTATGGTGCTATAGGATACGTAATGGACTGTTAACTACAATACTAGTGGTTCAAACCCACCAGCTGCTCCTTGGAAACCCTATACAGGGTCACTGAGTCAGAACCTACTCAACACCACACATCATCTGTCAAAAAAAGAGAGAAACAAAGAGAAACTACAACTAACAATTACTAGTTGTAGTTTTCCTTGATCATGGCTACGCAGTTATAGGTCAAGATAGAGTCCAGAATAACAGACTGCTACAAAGTATCTGTTTTCTTCTAGTCTCTTTCTATTTTAGGAGTTTTCTCTCTTTGGCCAGAATAAGAAAATGACCTTCTCAGATTAACAGCTGACTCTCTCTTCTTCATAAACAGTCATGAAAGGTTACTCATTTCATTAGAGAGAGCTTAGCACACCAACTTCCTGGAAAGGCTAAAAATCACAAGAACATTCAACTCTTTCAAACCAAAATGGAAACTCCTACAGATCAAACACAAATTGGAGGTAAAAAAAACCTGGAATGTCATGATCATTTAAAATATAATGTACATAATTTATATATAGTAAAAATTACCCTTACAATGTACAATTCTGTAAACTTGACCAAAAAAAAAAAAAGTTATTTAACCATTACTACATTATGGTATGGATTACATCTCAATGTCAAGAAAACAAAAATCCTCACCAATGGACCAATAAACAACATTCTCATCAACAATGAAAAGACTAAAGTTGTCAAGGACTTCATTCTTCTTGGATCAACTATCAACACTCACAGAAGCAGCAGTCAAGAGATCACACAACGTACTACTGCATTAGGCAAATGTGCTGCACAAGACCTTTCTAAAGTGTTGAAGAGCAAAGACGTCAGCTTGAGGACTAAGGTGTGCCTGACCCAAGCTATGGTATTTTCAAAAACTTCATATGCATGTGAAAGCTGGACAGTGAATAAGGAAGACTGTAAAAGAATTGATGCCTTTGAGTTATGGTGTAGGAGAAGAATATTTAAAGTTCCATGGGCTGCCAAAAGAACCAATAGATCCGTTTTTGGAAGACGTGCAGCCAGAGTGCTCCTTAGAGGCCAAGATGGCCAAACTTCGTCTCTTATACTTTGGACATACTGTCAGAAGGGACCAGTCGCTGGAGAAGGATATCATGTTTGGTAAGGTGGAGGGTCAGAGAAAAAGAGGACGACCCCCAACGAAATGGATTGGCCAAGTAGCAGCATCAATGGACTCAAGCATGGCAACAGTAGTGAGGTTGGCCCAGAATCGGGCAGTGTGTCATTCTGCTGTGCATAAGGTCGCTATGGGTCAGTACCGACTTGATGGCATCTAACAACAACAACAACAACATCATGATCTAAAGGAGTTCTGGTAGCGTAGTGGTTACGAATCGGGCTGTGAACCACAAGGTAAGCAGTTCAAAACTACCAGCTGTTTCACAGGAGAAAGATGAGGCTTTCTGCTCCCGTAGATTTACAGCCTCGGAAACTCTGTACAGGGTCACAGAACAACAACAATAACAACATCATGATCTAGAACACTTGTATCACACACACATTTCAAATTCCCTTATGTTCCTCATATCCCTTCCTTCATCTGGTAATCAGACATCTCTTTTCTGTCCTTATAGTTTTGCCTATAGTAGAATGTCATATACATGAAATCATACAGCATGTAGCCTTTATAGAGTCTGGCTTCTGTCACTAAACATAATTCATTCATGGATCAGCAATTTATCTTTTTATTGCTATCTAAAATTTAACTGTATATAGGAGTCTGGTGGAATAAGCACTGGACTGCTAACTACAAGATCAGTGGGTTCAAACCCATCAGTTGCTCCTTAGAAACCCTATACAGGGTTGCTGTATGTTGACAGCACTTAACAACATTCAATTGTATGATGTAATGTTGTTAGGTGCCATCGAATCAGTACCAACTCATGGTACCTTATGCACAGCAGAACAAAACACTGCCCGATCCTGGGCCAACCTCAACATTGTTGCCACGCTTGAGTCCATCGATGCTGTTGGCCAATCCATCTCCTTGGGGGTCCTTCCTCTTTTTCTCTGACCCTCCACCTTTCCAAACATGATATCCTTTTCCAGCAACTGGTCCCTCCAGACAATATGTCCGAAGTATGAGAGACTAACTGTGTGATGTACTGCCATTTAATTATTCATTTATCAGTAGAAGATGTGCACTTTCTTCAGTTTTGGACGTTTATACATTCACATACATATAGTAAACAAGGTTTTTATTTCACTTAGGTAAATAGCTAGAAGTGAGTTTGCTGTGTGGCATGGTAATTTATTTATTTACTATTATTCCCACCCTTGTTGTTGTTAAGTGCTGTTGAGTCGATTCCAACCCATAGCGACCCTGTATAGGATTTATGAGGAGAAGCTGGTGAGCTTGAACTGCCAACCTTGCAGTTCAAATGGCTTTGCAGTCTGGAGCATTAACCCACAGCACCACACCAGGACTTCCACCCTACACCCTACAAAAATACACATTTATAGTTTAGAAAGATTTCTGGTCATTTACTCTTCCCTGGCCTCTCAAGAATCACAAACACACTGAAGGCTATCAATCAAATTGGGTCCCGCTGTAGGATAAGCAGGCTATCAATCAAATTGGCACTGTAGGATAAGCAATGGACTGCTAAGCACAAGGTCGGCAGTTCAAACCCACCAGCCATACTCGGAAACCCTATACAGGGTCATTATGAGTAGGAACTGACTCAAAGGCACAAAACAACATCAATCAAATCAGCTTCCCGAAAAACATTATTACTTGCAGTTGTTGTTAAGGCGCTCTGGTAGAGTAGTGGTTACGAATCAGGCTGCGAATCTCAAGGTTAGCAGTTCGAAACTACCAGCTGCTCTGTGGGAGAAAGATGAGCCTTTCTGCTCCCATAAAGATTTACAGCCTCGGAAACCCTGTGCAGGGTCACTGTGAGTCGGAACCAACTCCACGGCACATAACCACCAACCACCATGGTTGGGTAGAGGCTATGCACCTGGCTTTTAGAGCAGTTTCATTAAGAAGGCTTAAGGGTCAGTTTGTTGTTACTACAGCCCATCTTGTTGGTTCCAAACCAGAGCAACCCTATATAGGTGGGGCTTATGAGTCTGAACAACGACTTTGTGGTTCAAAGCGACTTTGTAGTCCAGTGCTTATCCTACAATGCCACACGAGGACTCCATTAAATTAGACCATCGACAATGATACCCTGATGTTTTAAAATAAAGTTATGCTAGTTAAACTAGAATTATAATTCATCAATTTAACTCAAAGATTTTAAAGTTTAATTCTCCCATCCCACCAATCACAAATAAATATACTTTCTTGTTTAGTTATATCAGGGTTAAACTGTAAGAAAACAACTTAGTTCTTCCTTATTTAAAGGAAATTAAATCTCAGTTCTTTAATCATATTTATGATTATATTAAAGTGGGATACAGATTCTATACCTCAGAAAAAGTGAACACCAGAAATTATTTTATAGCTAATTAGCATGCTGAGTTCTTTTTCACTTATTCATTGCACAAATATAAATAACATAACAAATTACTACTGGCCAAAATGACCAACCATTTTGCTTTGCCTAGGACTGTCCTAATACTAGCATTGAAAGACCTGCATTCTCAAAAACTCAGAAGTTCCAGGCAAACAGGACCTTTGCTCAGCAGTCTACTACAGTCATCTATTACGTATCATCAGGCCCTGGGTACACACACAGTATGGAATTTAAAATTAAGAGAGACACTGACAATCAATAAGGAAAGAAACAATTATCTCCAGCGATAAATGCTAAGAAGTAAGTGACTCAAGAGAAT